TATGTGTGAGAGATCCACCAGAAATTGCTGTGTATCATCTTTAATATCATCCTTTTATAAAATGATTTCACATCTAAAATTTACAATTTATTTCAATCTGGTTTTTTTTTATTGTGGATTCAACGTTTTTCCTTTGATAAATTAATATACGAAATGTTGGTCATTTTCCCTTTACAAGAAAATATTACTCTGGAAGAGTATACGAGGCAATAAGAATAAAGTCCGTTCCTTATTGCGCAACAGCATTATAATAATAACGAAACTTTCGTAAAAATTTACAGAGTAGGCTTTCAGGCTGTCTGTTTTCTGTCTTTCTACAATCATTCGTTGTACAAAACAAAAAACGCCGGTTATAATAGATCGTTCGATCCAGAAGAGAGGAATCAAATATTGCGCAAAAATTTTTGTAATGTGAGCCGACATATCTCACTATCTCAGCAAGCAATGATTATTATTACAGTTTTTTAAGCGAATTGCCTCGATTATTGCATTAAACGTATGTCACTCAAAGCAGCACTTGCTTTGTCACAATAGCAAAATAAAATTCGAAATCATTTTGCCACAATTACTTTGTTAAGATAAATTACAGATAAATCGTTTATAAATTTTCTTAAAATTATGAATCAAACGCATTTACTTCGGTCATGATGTGCGAAAGAATTTGAATTTGTATTTCGCAAACGACAGCAATTTTGGCTTGATGTGATATCGTAATAAAAATTGACAGTTACTAACCTATATTGTTAATGTACAACTGACATAATTAAACAATTTTTATATCGGTTATCAAATATGAATGACATGTGAACATTGTTCACATATGAATGATATTTTGTTTCGTAGCAAAAATTCAAATAAATCAAACGCGTTTTTTTATATAGGATATAATTTACTTTTCTTTGCCATAAAACATTATTTTCAATTAAAATATTATAAGATATAGTAATGTTTTATGGCGAAAATAATAAATAATAAAAACGGCTTCCTGGAAGTTTATTATAAAGTTATTATTTACACAGGGTGTCACGCAATTATTAGCAAAGTGCTCTTGTGTAGATAGGGCAGGCTAAACTGCCCTTGGAGAAATTTACTTTTAACGAAATCGAAGTTTTTAAAAGTAATTAAGAATTTACTTAAAAATTTTGAGGTAATTCAAAGTGTGTAAAAGATTAAGCCAAAATAACCTAAAATTTTTAAAGTTTTTCAAGAATGACTTTAATATAATCGGCACAGCGCGTTAATTTCTTTCAGTTGTTCTTAAGTAAGTTTTAAAATTACTTTTAAAAAAAGTTTAAACTGTTCAAATTTATCTTTATTCCTTAGGTTTTCTTTGCAGTAAATTTTAAGTATTTTTTTAAGTTTTCTAAAGTAAATTTTCCCAAGGATGAGTCAATAAGTCCTCTATTATTTTGCAGTTTTCGCAACAGTCAACAAAATATTAATTACTAAAAGTGAAAATTAGGTTTCAATAATGTTTTACTCGAGTACTATAAACTATACAGAAAAATAGCAAATGACAAAACTTGTTTATTTTTTTCTCATAGAGTTCTGAGAATTTTTTCAGAATTTTTTAGTACCGCATTTTCTCATGTTGGTAAAAATAGTTGCCAATAAGAAAATGCAATATTAAAAAAGTTGAAAAGTTAAAAAATTCTGAAAAAAAAAGAAAATAAATAATTTACATTTTTTACTGTTTTCCTGTGAAGTTGATAGTATCTGAATAAAAAATTATTGACTACCAATATTCTCTCTCTCTCTCTCTCTCGGCGACTTTTAGTAATTAATATTTTGTTAACTATTGCAAAAATTGCAAAATGGTAGAGAACTTTGACTCAGTAATCCGTTCTATCTAAACAAGAGCGCTTTGTCATTAATTGCGAGACACCCTGTATACGAATGATGTAACAGTTAGTGCGTTAATAATTAATTTACTTGTAATAAAAATGCTTGTATTTTTATCATAGAAAAATAATTATTATGTTATACTGTGTGTGTGTGTGTGTGTGTGTGTGTGTGTGTGTGTGTGTGTGTGTGTGTGTGTGTGTATTTTATAGAATGACAGTCGTACATCGCATCTTTCGTAGCATTTGAATAGAGATTTGCTATTTTCTCATAAAAAAAGACCAACATTGTGATAATTGTATTAATTAATAATGAGAGTCATCAGTTTCTATTAAGTTACTTCATCACCGATACGATGATAAACTTGATATTTCACTGTTTTGATCATTATCAAGTTTACAATGTGATATATATATGTATATATAAATATATATAATAGTATGTAAATCACATGCGACGCATAAGAGAAGAAAGCTATATGTATTTTTATTGCGCTACATCACAACAGTTTCATTATCATTCACTTCGACTTTGATCGTGGATGTTCGATCGGTATGTAAGTAGACTTCAGGAAGCGAAATGTTCCTCACGCGACACACACACACAAGGTCCTATCTTACATCGATGCGTCAAATCAGCAGTTAAACGGTTAAGTCGCAGTCTTTGAAACTACATCATCCGGCTTCAAAGACAATTATCAAGCTCGCATCGCGGACTTTTGTGTAGTAGCAAATGAGACGGTAAATATGTCATTGCGCATCTTCCAGTGCAATGAACTCTCGAAAAATTTTTTTTAGACGAGATTCATTTTGACACAAAAAATTTTGTTCCAAAAAAATAGTTACAGCCTTCCTATCTGCAGATGTATAATATACCACTAAAAGAGGAAAAGTCTGATTTTTGGGCCCTTTGCGGAACCTTAGTTAACCACAAAAAGTTGTTGTTTGGGACCTACATGAAATAGTAAAAATAGTTTTACATTTCCTAGAAATACAAGTTCCAGAAATGCGGAGAAAGTAGATTTTTTTTTATGTTATATATGTCTCCTTTTGTAAGTCGAATTTTTGTACCACGCTAGAACTTAACACGAATCGGATGTATTGCGAAAGTTTCTCATGATAATTAGTACTTAGAAATTTTAAGAGTCATTCATAATGATTCTGTTATTAAATATGGCAAATTATGCAAAGTAGGGAATCTAAAATGGCACCTCCGACATTCAGTTTTAGGGCCACCACACACAAAATTACTTGGTGGAAAAATTTCGCTGAAATTATTTCACGTTTTGGAACACTTTTCAGCAGTTTAGAAAAATTTCAGTTTAATTTCAGCGATTTTAGCTGAAAAGTTCAAAGAAATTTCAGTAAAAATTTCAGCAAAATTTCAGAGAAATTTCGGTTCAATTTCAGAAAAATTTCAGCAATTTTTCAATATGTTAGCTAAAAAATCTACTTTTAGTGAAATTTCAGCAAATTTTTAGCCATTTCGTTGAAATGTTCCAAAACGTAGAATAATTTTAGCAAAATTTTTTTACCAGGGAGTTTAAAGCTGCATAAGCATAGCATAAGATCACTAGACCAATAATCATTCGACAAAAAGACGCCACATTGCATAAGATTTGCATGTTCATTGGTCCAGCGGTCTTATGCTATATGCTTATGCAGCTTATGGCATTTTGTATGTGGCCCTTATACGTAGGGTTGCAGTAATCGAATTTTTTATCAAAATGAATCTGAGCAAGGCAAGTTGACTACGAATCTATTAATTAAATGGAAACATCAATGATTCGAATTAAAACATCAATGAATCATTGAAGCGAATTCAAAATAGCCGATCCAAAATGTTTGTGCTCGACTAAAGTTACCTACATTTTAATATATTTTATACAATACAACACACAGAAAAAAAAACTATTCTTAAATCAACCATAATATATTCATATATAAGCAAAAATATTATAATTTTGCTTCAAAGATATCAATCTCGATTTGATTAAATTTGTTTTGATGCAAATATTACTTTGCACTTAATTCAAGACTTGTTCAATTAAAAATTTTATATCAATACAAATTCAAGATTAAAATTTTTAAATCAAGATTACAATATTTTTGATTATATATGAGTATATTGTGGTTGATTTAAGAATAGTCTTTTTTTTCTGTGAATGAATGCACTATCTTCCGACGTCTTCTATTGCGTACTGCTAAAGTGGAAAAAATTCGAATTTAAAACAAAATCTGAAAAAATAGTGGATACTAGATGGCTGATAATTATTTGTTTCACCCAATGAAAATGATCTGCTTGACCACTCTCAGTCAAATTCAAATACAACGGCGAGGACATGGTGGTCATTCTATTATTTTTATCTTTTTTTTATATTTGTCTGTTTTTAATTTTTTTTGTGTTTTGTGTAGATCTTTTATTGTTAGATTTTTTAAATGAATATATTAACAGGCTTTTTTGGAAAACTTCTTCAATGCCTATTCGTTATCTTTGGCATCATTACACAGGACCATTAATTATATAAAGGTTCTGTTCCTGAAAGAAGACCAATTGTTTTCTACATATTTTGACGTTCTAAAATAAAATCCGTTGTCGGAAAATTTGTATCACATCAAATTTCTGAGATATACGGTGTATCAAATGGTCCAAAATTGCATAAATTATATCACAAATCATAAAATCGATATCTAGCTAGACTCAAAAGCTCTAACAAGAAAGCTCAAGAACCAATCAACCAATCACAAAAAAACCAGGCAATATCTGAGGTGATCTAGCTAGTTAAGGTGAGATCTGAGATGATTCAGCCAGCTAAAGCAAGATCGAGAATGAGCGAAAATATAGAGAGAGAATTCATTAATGCTGCTCCTTTCTACTCATTTTTTTTGTGTAATTGTACTTTTTTGTCTTCAAATTGCTTTTCTTTTATGGTTCACTTTCTTTTTTGTGTCCCTTCTTAATAACTAACAGTGAACGAAGATACTAGGGAGATAGATGGAACGTGAAAATATGATGGCTGCTGGTTTAAATTTATAAAGAGATATCGAATCTCTTGACCCTATCTATCTAGAGTTTTTATCAACGTCTTGATGCTTCCTCTCTTAAACGACATGTCATTAGTTCGTCAAACATATGCTATATATCGAGAGTTGGTTTAGTCTAGTGTTAACCTCAATATATAACTCGCACACTCACAGCATTCAATAAGATGATACAATGTAAGTTCCTATATTTGCATTTTTCTATTTATACTTATATTTCAATTTTATATTTTATACCGTTATATATTCTATTACTTTAACTCGTTATACTTATTGTAATTCCTTTAAGATATATTCAAATATCAGATATAAACTCGACAAAGTATCTCTACATTACATTGTATTTGACGAGTTTGCTGTATTATATGAACGATTACATGAATTCTACGCGTTACATTTCGGACGATTTATTTGCAACTTTATTCTCTAATGACGAAATGCTGTAAATCCGTTACTTACTAAATTGTATTGAAAATGATCTAAACATAGGGTTGGAACCGTTTATATTTGTAATAATCTATGTAAAAAAAGACGTTTATATTTATAATGATCTATGTAATAAAGATAAAGAAACAGCTAGTGTATGGTCCTTATATAGGTATTTTTTTTTTAAATTATACAGTTATTTCGGTTTAAAATTTTGCGGGCGACTACTACCTTTTCAGTTTCAGCTCTGCGGTGTAGCTAACTCTCGCATTGATCAGATGATAACATGTTAACACCTTAATCATCAATGCGACAGTTGGAAGTTAGCGACAACGCAGGACCGAAGTTGAAAAGGTATTAGTCGCCCACAAAATTTTAAACTGAAATAACTTGCATAATTTGAAAAATTTTGTTATATCATACATCGTTGTATTCGTTAGAACGAAAGATATAATTTTTATTATATCGTAATATTTACTTTACGTGCAAAAATTATGCATACCCCTCCTTTCTTTAACATTGATAACATTGATAATTTTTCTAAGTAATCACTGTTTGCAATGGAGTTCAGTTAGAACCGTTTAATTTGATATTATATTTGTTAGATCTCTCTATTTCGGTTAGTCTACAAGATAAAAAAGGAGTTTTTTACTATTTATACGGGGATATATATTCTATATACTTTTAATCATGGCATAAAGTATTCTATTCACAAGGATGCGTCATCTTGAACATGCTGACTGCTTTTTGACCAATCAAAACGTTGCCCCAAATTGTAAAAAGGAACTTGATTGCTACCATATGCATTTCATTAACTTTGGGGCAAGCATTTGATTGGTGGTTCTGATTTAGTCTGCCGCCATTATGCACAATGGAATATATTCTTATATTCTTATACCATATAATTCATGAAAAATTTAGAAGATTTTTTAAAACAATTTTACAATATGCATGATGGACACCAGCTTCAATAAATTGAATATTTTTATTAGAGTACAAAAAGATAATTTATCTACTCTCTCGCACTCAAATGTCGTACAGAATTGATTGCGGTGATAATGTCTCATACGTAACCCAAACCGGACGTTTATTAAAAACGAGAATAAGAACTAAACAGAAATACTAACATTCTATTGTTCTGGAATATAAAGTTAATTTTGAACATGAATTCGTTTGGAATGATATTAGATTTTAGACGAAGAAAAAATTTTAAATAAGAGATTGATTTCCAAAATGACACATATTCGAAAGCAAAAGCAGGGTTTAAATTTATAAAATAATACTAATATCTTAGATCCATTAATTATATTTCGACCTTTTCATGAATTTTTTATCCTTCCATACTTTTATTTATTAATTCTTTGTATAAACATGTTTACGAATTTAAGAATTTATTGTCAAATATTTACTTATTAAATAATAAAGGTTTAAAGGCTTATCTCAATGAAACTTGAAGACACCCAAATTCTAAAATGTTTTTTTACAACGACTACAGGCATTATCTAATAATTAATTTTCTACTAAATAGTTCTCAATCTAAGAACAATAAATTCTTGGTGGAACCAATAGATAGCATTTATTAATTTAGTATAAGAAACGCTATCTCATATTAGGCGTCTATCTCATGATTATATTTTATAGTACTGTAAAATAAAATGTTTTAACATTTTTTTTGTTTCTATTCAAAGTTTTTCTTTCTCAAGTTTTTAGTCAGGGAATTTTTTCAAAAAATGATCGGAAAAATCAAGAAAAATAAGGAAAATTTCCTTCTGTATTTCGCTAACAGCCCTATTAAGAGTTCGAGTACTATTTGTAAAAGATTCGATTTTGTACGATAAAAAGTACTTTGTAAGTATATTTCGAATCTTGTAGATATTCGTTTGTAAGATTCGAAACTAACCAGTTGGGATCGATTACTTTGCAAGTATAAAGTACGAAACATTATTTCTTATAAGTATTATTCGAAAATGAAGCTAAATTATTGGATTTGACTTGAATTTTTAAGTACATATTGAATTTGATCCCATCTCTACTCATGATAGGGGACTTTCCTCTGTTATCTTTGTACGAGTGTTTATAAGATATTTTATATGTTATTCTAGCACAGTTTAACATGAAATCTCTTTATCATAGAATATCTCGTAAATTATTTATTGTTTGGAACTGTATTTTAATATACTTTTATGCACAGAATAATGCGATGAATCAATTGTTGTAAAGAAAGTACATAGCTTCTTTTTACAAAAGACACGCAGTTGCAAACTACATAATTTTTTTGTGCACTTTAATTTGGCATATAAAATTCGAAATAAAACGTTTTTTTTTTGTAGTTTACAATTATTTCTTCAACGAGCACAGCCAATAATCAACACAGATAACTGACAATAACAATGGCGATCGGCGAAGAAGCCGGTAATGGGGGCATCAGCAGCTTCGGTCTAGAAGATGACGCTGCCGGATCGATCCGAATAGTCAATCGCACAACCACAGATGATCCAATCGGTACGTCAAGTCATGTTCAGGCCGACCTCGATAATTTCGATTCAGGCAATCCCCTTCTGGCTGAGAGCGCGGCAGTAACGATTGATGCACCGATCGGAAAGCTTAGGAGAATACATAAAATGGAGAATGCGGTGGCGTCACAGACGGATGGTAGTGCGATGTGCCGAAAGGGAGATTTCGATGATGAAAACCACGCAAACGAGCCGGCGAATACGATCGTCGAGCCACCTGATGGTGGCCTCAGGGCCTGGATGATTATGGTCGGTAGCTTCACAATCAACGGTGTACTGTTCAGCATCATCAATTCGTATTCCCTCATCTATCAAGAGCTACAAAAACGACTGATAGAAGCCGGCGAAACCGAAGTCTCCTCCAAAGCAGGTACGAAACCTTTCCACGATATTAACTTTAAAAGAGATAATATTGTGGCACATTATTAATTTTACTTCTTAATTTTGTAAGAAATAATTATCGTAAGTATGTTTTATCGATTTGATATTCTGTTGTAATATCTTAGAAAGCATAAAATTTATAAACAATAAAAACATGGACTAGATGAGTTAGCGCGAGAAGTAGTGCGCAAATCAACAATGTCGAATTTAAAATTAATAAATATAATATAATGTAAAATAAACGTTTCGGCTCTAGATTAAATTTGAGCTATCTTCATAAAAATTTACAGTAAAAAATTAAAAATTATAAAGGATCAAAATATAGTCGCATTTACAAATGTAAAAATTAAAAAGATTACACAATATAGTCGCATTTACATCATACCATTATAAAATTTATTTGCTTTAATTAGCTTCAATAATATTATGATACAATCGTTTGATTACAACGTATTTTTATAAAAAAGAAAGAAAAAATTATTTAATTTTAATTCACTGTTAAGTTCTTCGGCTTAAAAATTAGAAGCGAAGTCCTCTAACGAGGAGATCTTATGGCTCTGGCACACAGAATGCGGCAACGCTTGCCGCGCGAATGGTATAGCGCAATAGTCAATCAATTTATCGCTTTTCCATGAAAGCAAAAGAATAATTATCGTTTGTCTTTGCTTGCTTTGCTGTTTGCTCTTTTCGCATTTAAATCAAATCGCATTGAGAGGAAGGAATTATTCCTAGGTGTAATAAATATAAAATAGACCGCGCGTTTTAATGAAATTGCCACTATCGATTTAAAAAGAAAGAGATAGTTTGGTACGTATCACTCTTTTTTTTTAATATTAATAATAGGATTAATAATATTAATAAACACAATGACTCATGAAATTTATGAAATTAATTAATGGAACTATCTGAATGACATATAAATTAAAAGTCACGAGGGTGATTGTTTATATAGACAGAGCCCTTAAATACCAAGGATTTAAATTGTACGACAATTAGACAGTCATTTATAGTAATAGAAGCTAATTCGTGCTACTCTCTTGTTGATGCTACTTAATCATCAATCCTCATAATGGAAAGAGAAATATAATTCATAAATTGTTAATCTACGCTGTTAATTTATAACATGCATTCGATCGATCGATTCTCTCATTAGATTAATTAACTTGCCTATTATTGATACATGCATGTTTATTATTCCAGATTTTTAGTTATCTCTTTATTCTTTGTTATGAAACGATGAAAATGCTTGCTCTCGAGGCCTGACATTTATTTAACAGAATTTTAATCGATTTAATTATATCAAATTTAATTACAGATATAAAAAATATAAATGTTGAGAGTATTAATTAAGAAATAAAACAGCAAATAACGACATAATTTTGAAATTAAAAGAAATAAACGATGAATGCCTCCTTTTTTAACAAAAAGAATCGTTTTCGATTCTGTGAGCATTTTATTATTTATCAGACAACTTGGCAAAATTGTTTCAGCTTTAGTAGGCTCACTAACTATTGGAACCACGTTCTTTCTGTCTCCGGTCGCCGGTATATTAACGGATAAGTTCGGCATCCAGACAACTACCTTCGTGGGAGGTGCAATTGCATCCGTTGGCCTGCTTCTTTCCTCGCTACTGACGGCCAAGGTAACGGAAGATAAAAAGATGCTTCTAATAATTGTGATCTCTATTCAAATTTGTTTCGGAATTGTACACGTTACCGTTACATGTGTCTGTCAGGTGGAACTGCTTTTTTTAACATACGGTGTTATGTACGGGCTTGGTGCAAGTCTCGCTTATACCCCTAGTCTAGCGATATTGGGTCACTACTTCAAAAAATATCTGGGACTGGTGAACGGTATTGTCACAGCCGGAAGCTCAATATTCACGACACTATTGCCATCTCTAATGGAGGTCCTGATACTGCGTTTAGGCCTAGAAGGAACATTGAGGAGCTTGGCCGTACTCACAGCTATTATCATGGCTTGCGCGATTCTTTTTAAGCCAATTCCATGTAAGTTTTTTTGAAACTCGTATTTATGTAAGTTTATATCCCTAGAACAAATTTTTTTTTAGAATTTTTCGTAGAATTTTTCAGAATTTCTATATAAGTTTAAACATTTTTCATAATTTCTATATGATTTTATTTTAACATAATTTTTTAAAAATAACTTTTCCAAAATTTCTCAAATTTTTTTGTAACGAATTAAAACACTTCAGAAATACTAAAAAAATCAGAAATATACCGAGCTAAGTATACTTTTACTCAAATATTTTTATTGTAAAAACAGTATTTGTAATATAATTGTATTTTAATTTCGTATTTCAGCAGAGCACATAAAAGTATTTTGTATTTTGTATTTCAACAAAGCATATACAAGTATTTTGTATTTCAAATCGAAAGATTAAAAGTATTTTATATTTTGTATTTCAAATACCAAGCTTGACAATCAATCTTATTATTTGAATTACAAAATACAAAATACTTTCAATCTTTCGATTTGAAATACAAAATACAAAATATTTTTCCCGCTGAAATACAAATATAATTGTATTATTTTATTAAAGTATACCTTTTTAAAGATGCTTATTAACATCAAAAAATTATTAAATTGTTTGTATAATTGATAAAAGTACCGATTAGGAGACCTCAATGACCTAGACCTTGACATATGTTATCAAAGTCATGACTCCAAGTAACCTCCAACAGGTTTTGGCCGCCGCTCGTTATGCATAAAAAAATTACACAGGCCGACAAAATTTAGGCAAACTTTGAAAGATGTTTCCGTAGGATTTTAATGCAAGCGATTACGTTATCCGTTTTTTTCCATCACCCTACATTTTTTAAATAATTGCAAAAACAGTTTTTTCGGAAGTAAATTTTTTATTAATTTTTTCTGAGGCTAAACAGAAAATGATATCGAGGTATGTTTTGTGGCATTTAACTCAGAAATGTTCCAATAACACAAAAAATATTTTTTCGATGCTTATAAAAATGTTATGTAAACCGCACACAAAAATCTTTGGAAGAATCGTAAAAAACCGGAAAGAATTGACAAATTTTGAAATATAAAACCAAATAATTAAAAAAAAACCATAAAAAATATCTAACAATTTATATTAATATCTGTATATTTTTAGTTTAAATCCTTTTTTGAAAAACTAATTTCCGACCATTTGTTCAGAAGTTATTAAATTTAAAGTTCTCTGAAGACACTCGCCCCAGAAAGTCGAGAGGTCCCAGATTCGAATCCTGAGGTATTTTTCGCAATATAAGTTCTTTACCGAATTAATTTAGGAAGGGGATTATTTTATATATAGGAATGTCCGAATGTTTCGGTTCCTCATCGTTTTTATATTATTAGCGTGTCAAATCGATTGTGATTAATGTCCGAATATTTCGGCGTACATCTGAGATAATTAAATTTAAAAATTAAGAATACATATTATATTTATAACATCTAACTTTGACTGATCATTGACGCTCTTTACCATATGTATGTTGTACAATTAAACGGTTGAATCTTATTTCTTATACATATATCAGAAGTAAAATGTTATTTTCTTCAAACTTTTTTGTTACAATAATAACTTTTTAACGAATAACGAGCGATGGTTGAAACCTGTTGGAAGTCACTCGGGGTCATGATCTTGACAGTACATGTCAAGGTAAAGGTCATTGGGATTGGGTCGGTACTTTTACCAGAGACATTAATGAGCACTTTTTTCAGTAACATCGCAAAGAGACAAATCACATAAAACGAAATCTTTACGAAACCATCTGAACGAATTCGTAAACGTATCTATCTGGAAGAAAAAACGATACGTCGTATGGGCTGTTTCTATTCCTCTCGCTCTTTTTGGGTAAGTTGATTGTTTGTGTATAATTATACTTACAAATAGCCACTTGCAGCACAAAAGTTGCAGCAACACAGTCTACAGACATAGTATCTCTAGACTCGTCTTCAGGTAGTTGGAACCAAGCATCGCAAAAACATTCGATGATTCATTCCCGTTGTCCTTTTTATTATTGTACAATAACATTTAACTTTAACGATGACTTTTGCTATGACATAGGAACAGAGGTTATTTTCGATTAGAACTCCATGAAGAATTTATTGTCAAATATTTACTTATTAAATAATAAAGGTTTAAAGGCTCATCTAAATGAAACTTGAAGACACCCAAATTCTAAAATGTTTTTTTTACAACTATAGGCATGATCTAATAATAAATTTTCCACTAAATAGTTTTCAATCCAAGAGCAATAACTTCATGATGAATTTACCAATAGATAGAGTTTATTAATTTAGCAGAAACGCCGCTTTCTCATATTAGGTGCCTATCTCATAATAAGGGACTTTCCTTTATATGAGAGAGGAAATGAAGAAGTTACAAAGTACTGAAGTTAGGGAAGTTCTACTGTAGATGCTTTTAGTTGTTAACGCTAGAGAGCCTCATAGGCTCAAGGAGGCTCAAGGAGCATCAAGGAGGCTTTCTAGTTAATGTTCTTGGCGTTCTCATTCGCGATCGAATGCGAAGGGAAAGCCTCAATTAGCCCATAGAAGAAGGGGCGCAATTGCATGCGCAGATCGGTTTTTAGGAACAATCGGCCTCTTCGTCAGTTCAGTTCTTGTTAAGATGCATGTGCATAAGCACGAATAAAATGTATTTCCTGAAAAGTACCACCAACGTCTGATTATCTCAATTAGAGATTTCGCCTGATTATAGCACCTATCTCTTTCTTATTTGAATGTGAAGAATTGAACTTTCACTATATAAATTTTGTTTTATTCCGTTTTTACAGAAATAAAAAAGTTCGATCGTTATTTTAGATACTTCGTCCCATACGTTCACATAGGAAAGTTCGTGACTACGACATTCAAAGACGCCGATAGCAAGCTGCCGGTCATGTGCGTCGGTATCACCTCCGGTATTGGCCGTTTAATTTTTGGCTACATCGCCGACCTACCGAAAGTAAACCGAATATTCTTGCAGCAAGTGAGTACTCGATAAGACCTTCGAGCTTCTAACAGTATGTTTAAAATCTTTTTTTTTTTTTTTTATAAAATAAAATACCTTAGCACTTCTCTTTCTTTTGCTAAAATCTTGATACAAAAAAATAAAGAACCATTTTTTTCAGATATCATTTGTAAGTATCGGCATCCTCACGATGCTCCTTCCAGTCACTAAATCGTTCCTCATGCTCCTCATCATTTCGCTGGGGATGGGACTGTTCGATGGATGCTTTATATCGTTACTTGGTCCGATTGCATTCGATATTTGCGGCCGTAGCGGCGCAACTCAAGCCATAGGCTTTCTTCTGGGGATGTGTTCTATACCTCTAACGGTTGGTCCACCAATCGCGGGACTCCTATACGATCATACTGGTAATGATTTTCATAACTGCCTTACACGTACTAATAATAGAATAAGAGAGTACTTTTTAGTGAATAAGGAGCAGAAAAATGTTTTGTTTATTTTAGTCTTATATCGTCCAATTTAAAATTAATAATTAACATATACACCGCCGTTCTTAAATACGGGAACGTTTACGATTTTCGCATCTGACGAAAAATTAAATATCTCGATGAAAAAAAATTGTAGACAAGTTTTCAAAAATGTATTTTAAAGAGGAAAAGTAAAACTATTTGTTAAGTTCGTTTCTAAATTATATAAAATAGAAAATTAGTATTTTTGTTTTATTTTAGAGTGCTGCACTAACTTGAAAAGTACTTAAAGTAAGCTTTCTAAACTTTAATTTTTTAATTGAACAATATAAAATATAAATAATGGTCGTAACGGTCAAAGCTAGATCTTTAATACTTAAATAATTCAATCTGAATTACTATATATACTATATACATATATACTTGCATATATACCATACTTATACTATAGGCTGCGGTCAAAGTCTCACTACAAATGCTTTGAAGTGTTTGGTTGACCAATTAGAAAAAAAGAATTTTACAAACTAACCAATCAAAAATTGCTTTAAAGCATTTGTAGCATCGCGTTGACCGTACCTATAATCAAAAGTTGCTTCTTTTGGCACATACAATCACGCTGTGCAATCTGTATCCGCGAATTCTGAAACACCCTTATATATTTTTAATATTTTGGAAATATATATTCCATAGATGTTACATCCTAACAAATGAAAATGGATTGAAATGGATTAAAATGGATTCAGATTTTCAGAAATGTTAAAATTCATGAATGTTAAAATGAATCCTTTTAATTCAGTTAAATTCAAAAATAATATCAGCAATTTCTGTGCAACGTGAATACTGCTCAATTCAATATTCTGAATTTAAACGTAATCTTAAACTGAACTGGGATAACAGTTTTACAAATTAAAGTAAATGTTATAATATTTTTTAATGCTCATACAATATTATAGTAACATTAAATAATGTTATTTTTAATAATCACATAATACTATCAGGAGTGGACATATAAATATAACCATCCATTAATATTTCGGGAATATTATTCAATATTATATAATTTTAATAAAATATAATTAAAACGTTACATTTAATATTTTAAGAATATCCCTAATATATTACTTAATATTAAATAATATTATGTACTTATAGGATATTTGCTATCTGTATCTCACCCAATGTGCCTAGAAATGAAACGTGCAACCAATCGGGTTGAATCTGTAATCACGTATTGGTCATTTACTTTTGATAACATACCCAATCACACAACGTAATGAATATATAACTAATTCGTTTGAATTTATCGTGTGTATTGAAGAATTGTCTAACAAGGGAGGCCCACTAACTGTTAGTCACCGATCTTAACAAGTGATATATCGTTGAAAAGCACGCACATATACTTACATAAGTCGTTGCCTCCCGAACAAACCCTGGTATAATATAAGCCTACAATTTACACCAAGTACTTTGTACGCGTACTAAGTACCATATTCATGCCAAATCACTTGATACACTCTGTATTAAACGCTATAGGGGATTATTTCAGTGCGCTCTGGTATGGTACTCCCGAATCACGAGAGAGTATCTAAAATATTTTATTATAATATGTGCCGTTCTCTCAAACTTGTAAACGATAACTTAATTAGATTATTTGTGTTGTTCTCAGGTACCTACGATCTACCTTTCTTACTAGCCGGCGTTCCTCCGATAATAGGAGCATTGACGATGTTCTTAATAAGATGCGTTAAAGAAAATAATGAGGGAAGTTTAAACGATTCTGAGAATATCCCAAGCAAAACAGATTGTCAAAATGGTCGGTAAAGCCAGGTATCTGTATGTTATCAATTTTATTTGGGACCATTAAAAAAATACGTTTGCTTAGTGGGGGGAGGGGGGGGCGGGGGGAGTCATCGAAAATGTTACGTAAGTGAAAAGGGGAGTAAAGGAAACGCAAATGTTCAATATTGTAAATGTTCAAAATTTGATATGAAGCTTTTTTTTTTATACAAGTTACCTTAGAAAAAAAAGTCAATTAAAAAAACCATGGAGGCATTTTCCTCATACTTATACCGCTATGCCCTTTACTTTTGTATAGTTGTATTTATTTTTACAGACTAGAATGTATTCTATCCTATACTTGCTGATATTTAATTATATTTTGTACTTTAAAATTATTAAATTTGCAGCAAGAATGAAGAATAGTGATTTTTCGCCGGTGAGCATAGTCGGGCAAACATGCGAATCAGCGATGCAAGAGAAATACAGTACAATGTGCAAATCCCTGCCATCGTCTCAGTGCTATTGTGTCAAACAACCGGTTAAATTGCAAAACTGTTCAGCACGCAATAGTTATCAATACAAGTATGCCAATTGCAGATATTCGGAGAGTGAACCATTACTTCATGGAGAGAGGATCTCACGATATCCGAGCATAAGTTTTTCTTACAATTTATAGTAAATCATCAATGTTTTACATATTTTAAATTTGCATTCTGACATAGCAAATTCTTTGCTCTGAAGAATTCCATTGTTCGTTATTCACCTGCAAGTGTGTTTAGATTCCAATCCGGTTGGTTCCCAGATGTTTTGTTATTCTCGTTTAACGTTCGGTAAACAAAAAGAATAAAGCGATATCTAGGTGACACTCGCGTGGGAATCCGAACATAGCCTAAATGAAAATAAAGACGAAATCCATTAAAAAATATGGTTGCTTTTTTTATATTCAATAATTATATAAGGGTACTAATAAAGAACTCAATAATTTGAAAAAATTTTAATAAATACGAAAGAAAAGATTACGAGCCCAAGCTGGATGTTTAATGTGATATATCCCAGCTAACGTTAAATATTCATAGAAAGTTCGATTCGTATTACCAATTAATGTATCGAATGTTCCGGAACAGTAAAAAAATCGTCACAGAATGTGCAAATGTCGATGAAATATTCAGAATATTATGTGAATATTCCTTGCATATTTCACAAAAATCGCGAGTGAGCGAGCAGTACACATCTCCGCCGTTAGAGGGCTGCGGCAAAGAGCATTTATTCGTAAATAAGAATCACCTGAGAGAGAATAGGGAGTTTTTGTAATATCGTTTATCCAAATACGGTGAACGCTAAGATCAGGTTATCTTCTTAACAATTACTTAAGAAAAGAATAACGTGATTTTAGCGTTCATCATATCTAGATTCATGTTATTGCAAAAACTCCCTATTAGCCTATAGCTATAATATAAGGAACGCAGTACTTCGTCTGTGAAGTGAGTCCCAAAATTGGGCTTCAAGGTGAAAACCCATTAAATGCGTTTTCCAAAGTAAAATTTTGTTTAAAAACTGATTCATGGACCTGATCTGAAATTTTTAGAAAAATTAAAATTTTGCGGAATATAGTACGGAGCATGCTGGGAATATGTAATGGCATACAAATGATATTTTTAACTGACATTTGAATGTTTCTTTTATATATGTAAATATTTGGAATATTTTGTTGTATTCTTGGAATGTTTTTTGGGGAATTTTAAGAACATTTTATGAATATTTCATGAATATGTAGCGTTTGCTGGGTATATTAATAAACATAGAAGTGATAAAAATGAAACAGACGTTTCAACCTCTATCGGGTCATTCTCAATGTTCAAATACAGTTAAAATTTAATAGTTGACTTATTGTAATATAAAATAAATTTCTTTACGCACGAATTACCGCGATTAAAAATTCTCATTAGCCCTCTATTTGTTTTTTATTTATAAAATTTAATAAATGCTATATTGTTAAAACGGTAAGTCAAAAATATACAAATGTAAAATATAATATATACAAATATAAAAACCCTAATAGTATAAAATTTTTTTTATATATTAAAGTCGCTCACAAAATTCCTTGTGAGAAAAAATGGTTGAACAGTAGAACGATTGAATGACTCGTATTTTGCAAATAAATTGGATAGTCGTCGAAAAGTTAGCGACAATAAAATGCGTATAATAGTTAAATTTATAGATAAGTTTAAAATTGTATTAAACAATTTCAAAGAACATGAAAAAAAATTGTAACGTGATACTATAAATTTAAAAGTGCGTGCACAATAAATTCCATAATGAAAAGGTATTTAGAATTAAATTTATCCTAATCTGTTATAACATATCCATTTTAAGGCAACGGATGTGTGGAATGCTATATATATATTTATCCGTATATTTTTATTAAATTGATGCGTATATGCATCTAACTATATAGTTAGTATATTAATGAAATTACCACATATCCGTTACCTCAACAGAAACATTCCCGTAACAAATAATAAAAATAAATAAAGGACAAGTATAATAAATAAATCACTGAATACAATTGTCAAATAACGTAAAAATTTTACTCTACTTATTAATTTAAAGGTTTAATGCGAAGTTATCTGCAAGGTCGCTACAATGATTCTGTAACAAAAAGAATATAAAAATCCAAATTAGAACAAAGTAGGAAAAAATCAATCAATATTTTAAAAAATATTTACTAAACGCAAAGTTCTCTTGAATAATCATATAATAATTATATTATTTTAAAAATATATAATAATTTTTATAAGCACCGATTTTTTAATTTACCATATATTCTCAGTTAGGTATTTATATAAATAATTATTATACATTTTCTTAAAAAATCTTAAGGTAAATATCTCGATCAGGGGACCTCCTCCCTCCAATGACCCTGACCTTGACATATGTTGTCAAAATCATAACCTTGAGTGATCTTCAACAAGTTTTAGCCGTCGCTCGGTTATTCGTTAAAAAGTTATGAACAAAAAAAGTTCAGGTCTTTATTTTAAAATTTAAATACTAGAATTTGTTGAAGGTCTCTCATAGCATATTCGATTTAGGCCCGTTTCTACCAACGCAGATTAACTTTAATCTCGGTTCAACTTACTCTTTGTCTTTTTCTAGTTCTAAAGATTAGAAAAAGACGAAGAGTAAGTAGAACCAAGATTAAAGTTAATCTACATTGGTGGAAATGGGCATTAAGACATTACTTAAGACGGTCTTAGGGCCTGAGCACAATAGAGGAACAGGAATTAGATATTAAGATTT